TTTAGTTTCCTAAGCCTTAGGCCTAGATTATCGGCTTTGATATTCTTTCGGAGAAAAATACGATATTTGGTGTGGTTACGTAGCTCTTGTTGAGTAGAGCAATTTTAATTCTTGGCCCGAAGCGATTAAACTCTCCAATCTTTGTAGATCTGAGGAAAAAGAAAAGAGGAAAATAAAAAAAAACAAACACTCACCTTTCTCTCTCTCACTCTCTGTCTCGCCGTCTCTTCACAACAAAACCAAAAAGTGGAAGACTTTGTCTTCTACTTATCTATATATATATATATTATAAATTTATTATTATTATTTTTTTGAAATTTACGTTTTTGATCTGTAATTTAACAATTAATTATTATTTTATCCCTTTAATTAGGATTTTTTTTAGTAATAATAATAATTTTTTTTTCGGGTTTTACAGAAACAAACCTATTGAAGGCGACTATTATCCCATTGAGGCACTGGACTNCCTGTAATTTAACAATTAATTATTATTTTATCCCTTTAATTAGGATTTTTTTTAATAATAATAATAATTTTTTTTTCGGGTTTTACAGAAACAAACCTATTGAAGGCGACTATTATCCCATTGAGGCACTGGACTTCCTTTATTGAGACAGGGGACCTCATCTCTAAGACAACTCTGATTTATCCAAGTTGGCCTCAATACCCCTTTTGTGGACCATGAAACCTAAGAATTTTCTCGAACTAACGCCAAAGACGCACTTTTTAGGATTCGACTTCATCCGGTAGGCTCTCAACACATTGAAGGTCTCCTGTAGGTGTGTTACATGATCTGCGGCTGCTACACTCTTTACCAACATGTCATCTACATAGACTTTCATTGTTTTTTCAATCTGGGCCTCGAACATCCTGTTGGCGAGGCGCTGATATGTGGCTCCGGCGTTCTTGAGCCCAAAAGACATCACTTTGTAACAGTAGGTGCCTCTTGGGATAATGAACGAGGTCTTCTCCTGATCTGGGGGAAACATAATTATTTGATTATACCCGGAGTAAGCATTCAAAAAACTCAGAAGCTCATGCCCAACAGTGGCATCAATGAGAAAGTCGATGCGTGGAAGAGGATAGCTGTCTTTGGGACAGGCTTTGTTGAGCTTCGTAAAGTCTACGAAGAGGTGCCACTTTCCATTGGCATTTGTCACCATAACCACATTGGATAGCCAGTCTGGGTAGGCTACCTCCCTCACTGACNTGCCACTTTCCATTGGCATTTGTCACCATAACCACATTGGATAGCCAGTCTGGATAGGCTACCTCCCTCACTGACCCATTCGTTAGCAGCTTGTCTACCTCATTTTCCATGGCTTGTCCCCTTTTAACACTCACATTCCTCAACTTCTAACAAGCAGGTTTGTATATGAGGTCTACATTGAGTCGGTGGGAGGCCACCTCGGGGTCGATGCCTTCTAAGTCTTCGTGGGACCAGGCAAAGACGCCTATGTTTCGCCTGAGAAAGTCTACCAAGGCAGATGCTTGCTCCTAGAAGAGTGAGGAGCCTACGTAGACCATTCTCTGTGGAAGGTTGTCATCGACCACTATGGGCTGAAGCTCTTCTTCTGGCTCATCCCTCTCCAGGGTGCTATCGTCTCTGGGATCAAGAACTTCGACTTTGAGAGTCTCATGTGGTCTTCTGGCCCTCATAGAGGCCACGTAACATTCTCTGGCTGAGACCTGATCTTCTCATATCTCCCCAATCCCACTAGAGGTTGGGAAACGGAGGAGAAGGTGGTAGGTTGACAACATTGCCCTTAGGGCATTGAGGGCAGGTCGACCAAGAATTATGTCATATGTAGAAGGGCAATCGAGTACAAGAAAGTTTACCATGATGGTAGAGCTCCTCGGTATAGTCCCTGCTATGACAGGTAGGGTGATAGATCCCAGGGGATAGACTCTTTCTCTTGAAAAACTAACCAAAGGAGTCCTAACTGGTTGTAGTCGCTCTCTGCCGAGGTGAAGGCTATCATAGGCTGTGGCAAACAAGATATCGGCTGAGATTTCGCTGTCAACTAGGACCCTCCTGACCTAGTAGTTGGCTATCATCAAGGTCAAGACCAGGGGGTCATCATGCGGGACCTGGCCCCCTCGAGGTCTCTATCAGAGAAGGTGATGACATCCTTTTTCCCACGTCGGGGTGTCTTCATTGGGTGGGAGTCATGTGACTCTGCTAGTCTCACTCTTTGGACGTGCGCCTTCCTGGCAGAGTTGGACTCGCCTCCTTCTCCTAGTCCTCTGACAATGGTCTGAATTTTACCGAGGGGTTACTAGTGTTCTCGTTCTTCGTGCGGAGGGGCTGGTCCTCGATCAGCAACATATTGTCTAAGCTATTCCCGTTGGATAAGTTACTCGATCTGTCTTTTTAGCTAAAAATAGTCATCTGTGTCATGTTCTTGATTACGGTGGAAGCAGCAATACTTGCTGAGGTTTCGGTGTTTCGGGTTAGACTTCATTTTCCCGAGCCAACGAATTACGGGGTTGTCTTGTATTTGGAACAGAATGTGCTCCACTGAGGCATTGAGTGGAGTGAATGGTTGTAGGTCTCTCGGGGGCAGTGGCTCGAGATCATCTTTTACGGAGACCTTTTCGACTTTCTTTCTCCTGTTTTCGGTCTCCCTTCTGTCTTCTCGACTATCTTTCCTTTTCTTCCCCCTCGAGAGGACTCACCTTTATAGGCTTTGGTGACGTCCTTACTGTTCATGTATTTCTGGGCCCTGGACAACAGCTCGGGCATGCTGGAGGGCAAATTCTTGAGGATTAAGAACATAAAGCTGGATGTGCGGAGGTCAGCGATAAAGGCGGCCAGAGCTACCTTATCATCCGACTCCTCAACCTGGAGAATTTTCTCATTGAAGCGAGCAGGGTAGTCTCTAAGACTTTCACCCTTGTCCTGTTTGATGGCGAGTAGGTGGGTCACTGGTTTTTGATGTCGGCGTCCCCCAATGAAGTGAGAGATGAAGGACCTACTCAGCTCGGCGAAAGAACGGATGGAAGAAGGTCTGAGCTTGGATAACCACTAGCGAGTAGACCCCTTCAAAGTGGTAGGGAAAGCTATGCACATAATTTTCTCAAGCACGTTGTGGAGTTGCATGAGGGACTTATATGAATCAAGATGGTCTTTGGTGCCATCGAAAATCTCAATGGAGGGCATCTTGAATTTCGAAGGTAGAGGATAATTGGTAATATCAGCAATAAAAGGCGTATCAGTACGTCTTACCAAGTAGTCCACAGTTTCAGGTGTCTGTGCCTTGATGGCATTAAGGGTATCACCAAGCTGATTTTGTACCTCTCTAATCTTTTCGTCCTAGTGGTTGGGGACATCCTCAGTCGGGTGATGGTACTGAATTTTGTGGTCTCTGAATTGACTTTCTTTGTCTTTGTCCTTCTGGGGAACTTGTGGACTCCCTACACGCTGAGGAGGGACTACTGGGCGAGGGGCGCCTTGACGTGGCCCTGGGGTGTTCTGGCGAGGGACCCCATGGTGGGGGGCTACCTAGCGCCCAAGAAGGATAGGGTGTTGCTCTACTGGAGGGAGTGGGGCTCCTTCCACAGGGTGAGGGGCGACGCCTTCTTGGGCGAGGATCAATTAGATGATTTGCTAGTTTTGGTTCACCAGCAGCTACATGGTTTGGAGGAGCTGTTGCTACTGCGCGACAAGAGTCGTAGTTGCAGATGGTTCAGATGGTATGAAGGGAGGTGGAGCCTCCTCCTGGTGAGTCGGGTTATTATCTCTTGATTGTTGGCTCATTAATCAGGTAGTGACCGTCATGGATTGAAATAAAGGGTAGAAAAAATAGTCATTCCCACAAACGGTGCCAAACTGATAATGTACAAATCAATTTTTGTGTAAAATCAACAGTCAAAAATGTGAACGGGGACAATCAATGAGCAGTTAACAAGTAATTAATGACAATTAAGAGATAAAAAAGGTAAATGGACAATCAACACAAAGGATTATAGTAGTTCGGTCCGGGTGACCTACTCCACTCTCAGGAACGACAACGGTGGCTGGAGATCTTTATTAATTAATAGTGTAACAGGGAGAATATATTCCAGAAGTATTACAATGCTTTTGGAGAGGAAGAGAGATTATGTGTATAAGGGGAAGTGTAGAAGTTTTAGAGGCGTGCCCTCAATATTGATAGGGCGTTCATTATATAGTTAGGGTAAGGCGGTGACGTGAGTAAGAGGTCTTCCACTATTTTAGTAAGTACAATCTTAGTGGGATTAGATTTTTCGTATCCCGATATTCTTTCCCTCGTGTTCCTATTCCATCGGAGGATGATCCTGTGTCAAACTGGACTTGACCCTGAGTTTGGAATGGCATCAGAGTGGGCTGGACTTAAGTTGGAATGGCTAGGAGAAGGGAATGAAGGAGGAACCAAGAGGGCTAGCACTGGGCATCGCCTTGGGGATGACTTGGGCGACGCCCTTCAATGCTTTGGGCGGCGCCTTCTTGGGTGCTTCCTTTCTACTTGATTTCTTCTTGATTTGTAGACAAGTCTAACTCCCTTTCTCACTATTCAACATTGATAACACCATCCTCACTATTTAACACTTATTTTTACTATTCAACTTCATTTTTACTATTCAACACCCATAACACTATCCTCGAGATTTTCCCCAAACTCAGCTCCCCCTGAAACTATATTCCCAAATTCAGTCAGTTTTAAACTTTATTTCTAGACCCAGTCTTTTTTTAAAAATATCATTTGAAATGACGCTTTTCGTAACAAAATGTCATTTTAAATGATATTTTTTAATTAAATTTTTTTCTTGAAAATATCGTTTCTAATAACGTTTTTAAAAACGTCAATACAAATTACGTTAACCAAAGTGCAATTAAAAACGACGTTAAACAAAGTGAAATTAAAAACGGCTTACTAACGATGTTAACATGCGAAATTTAACGAAAATGTTAAAACGCTACAATTTAACCAGATCCCAAAAAGAACTTCCCCAAATCACACAGCTGAGGCCAATTTTTTTTAAACCACTCTCAAATCCCTCTTTGCAGAATCGACCTCACCTCCTCCAACCACTGTCTCTTCCTCCTCCAACCAGTAACCCACCACAGTCTGACGAAGACCAGTCCGACGAGGAAGAGTAGTCTGACATAGAAGNATTTTTTTTTAAAAATATCATTTGAAATGACGTCTTCTGTGACAAATCATCATTTTAAATGATATTTTTTAATTAAATTTTTTTCTTGAAAATATCATTTTTAATAACGTTTTTAAAAACGTCAATACAAATGAAGTTAACCAAAGTGAAATTAAAAACGACGTTAAACAAAGTGAAATTAAAAACGGCTTACTAACGATGTTAACATGCGAAATTTAACGAAAATGTTAAAACGCTACAATTTAACCAGATCCCAAAAAGAACTTCCCCAAATCACACAGCTGAGGCCAATTTTTTTTAAACCACTCTCAAATCCCTCTATGCAGAATCGACCTCACCTCCTCCAACCACTGTCTCTTCCTCCTCCAACCAGTCACCCACCACAGTCTGACGAAGACCAGTCCGACGAGGAAGAGTAGTCTGACATAGAAGACCTCTCCGGCTCAGTAGCTTCACTCCAGCTACATTTTCTCTTGTGGTGATCTGTACGTTTTCTCTGGTGGTGCTCTGTACATTATTTCCGGTATTTTCCCCCATATCTCTCTGTCAAACTATACTGCGATCTCCTTCCTTGTTGCAGAAACAAACTATATAGGAGGAATTTAGGGTGATTTCCAACTTCAGGCGATACTGTGATGTTGNCGGTGGTGCTCTGTACATTATTTCCGGTATTTTCTCCCATATCTCTCTGTCAAAATATACTGCGATCTCCTTCCTTGTTGCAGAAATAAACTATATAGGAGGAATTTAGGGTGATTTCCAACTTCAGGCGATACTGTGATGTTGGGATGTAAATCCATCTTAGTATATTTTTTTCTCTAATTATCATTACAAAATATTTGACCTGTTTAACACTGCTTTGGTCTTCAATCGTGTGAGCATGTTGACCAATTGGACTTGTCAACTCAATACTCAAATTTAACCCTAATGTGACTTATGCAATTCAGCCGACAAACTAAAAACCCTAACGAATTATAAAAAGTAGATGAAATTGAAGAGTAAGGGATTTGCTCCACCGGATGAACATTACAACAAAATTAAGCATTCTCTCCCTAGTTTTCTTACCTCTTGTGATGTTATACTCATTCAGAATGTCGATTAATGTTATATAGCTGTGACATTTTGTATAGGAGATTATTATTATTGTTGCTTTTCTCATTGCTTCAATCATTGCATCATCAAGTCACAGTGTGTTACTTTTTTTTTTTTTATCTTGTCAAGAGCTTGTAGGGACTAAATTTTTCCTTGAGGTTTTCTAGCTTAGAACAACTTCATGCTCTGGGAAAGCCCATTACTCTTTAAACTTTCAAGACAATTGAAGCCTTAACCTAATCATGATTTGGTTTTTGATCATGTAGTACAGGATTAAATTTTTTAGACAACAGATGTCTTACCTTGGTTATATCATATAAGACTATCAATTTTTGCTTGAAATTCTTGAAATTACCATGTTTTTTAGACAATGACTCTGTCGTTCTATACCGACATACTATGCTAACCCAAAGAGCCCAACAAATAAACCCAAACGACCAAATAAGTCCATTTTATTCAACCTTGGGTGCTTGAAGAATGTTCAATAGATTAATGTGAATATGCTTCATTGTTTAGATGTACCGTTCGTGCATGTTTTGATGTGCATTTTGTGATTTGAATATTTCTCGCCTTTTTAGTTTCCAGTCCTCAGCCGTTGATATATTTTTTTTAATTTAAATTTCTGTGTGTTAAGTTTTCTAATTGCTGACCATCTTTTATTTAAACTAGGATCACACTGCATATATATTATTGTCCAAGGATAATAGTTTAATTCACTTTCCCACCTCCATAGTTGCACTGATGACTTTACACTTTCTGTTTTCAGCTGAGACCCAAGGCAAGGGCTGGTTACACCACATGGTTTCACCGCAGGACCTTTATGCTGCAATTGTTTTCACTGCAAAGGCAGGGGACAAGTCCGGATCGGAATGGAGAGAATTCATCCGCTGGACGGGACCTGCTAGAACTTTATTGTAACGTTTGATGCCAACAGTGATGGTTCATCAGACGAAGGCAGAGATAACTCCAGTGCTGAAGACTGTTTTGAATGATGTCGGGGCACACTTTGCTTAAAAAGCTTTGGTAACTGTACATAACAAGTGCTTAAGCTCTTTCAAGTGGCTTTGGTTACTCTCAATATTTTTTCCGGTTTTGTTTTCCTATGAATGATTTTCAGTAGTCAATAAACCTATCGTACGTTTATAGTTATTTTCGTTGTAATAGTTCTTGTTGTAATATATCAAGCTTGTTCATGTTCAGAGCGGAATCAGCTCAAGATGAAGTTGTGTGTTGACGATAGCAGATACTTTTGTTTTGTTTTAAGGTTTTTGCCTTCAAAACAGAAAGGTTTTTGCCCCCCCGTCTCAATCACCCCTCTCCCCCTTCCTGCAATTTGGATACAAAAAATTACAAGGAACAATTTGCAAATTGGATACAAAAAATCAATGAATTTGTTGTAGAAATTACAAGGAACAATTGACAATGGTAAAAACCCAAAATGAATACAAAATGAATAAACTTTGAGGCAGTCCAAAAACAACTCTCTAATTCCCTTGCTACGGTTGCAATCCATTCCTAATGGACTCAAGAATCTGAACAACCTCAACCATGTTTGGTCTCCTCAAAGGCGTTTCAGAGGTACAGATTAATCCCAACTTCATAACTTGAATCAGCTTGTTTTCTGCAAAACCCCGCAAACTTCTATCAACTTCATAACTCAGACAAGGCCATGGGCAATTACAAAAAACCCAAAACAGAATTAACTAGGACCAGCGAATCATCATGCAGCAAGGAAGTAAATCTATTTCACTCAATCATGGCATCAACCACTTCGAATTTATCTCATGCTCTTGTTCAGCATACTTGGGTGCTAGCATTGTGAGAAACTACTAGCCGAATTGAATTGATTCTATAACTGGCGCATATTAAGCAAACCTACCAAAGCATAACTTCTTATATTTTGAAGAAAAAAGCAACAGCATTGAGGTTCTAGAAGAAAACCACTTCTCGAAGCCCTAACAGTTGTGTGAAGCTAACTGAAATATTCAGTATAATACCACATTTGACAATGGTCACAACACAGACTGATTTTAAAAGGTCCACTCATTATAGAGACCATAGGACATAAAATTGGTGATTAATAATGAAGTCTATGGCAGAAGATGGCTATCTCTAAGCCTTGAGTAATGCTGCTGCTAAGGAAAAAGCTGAGATACACATGACCTATTCAATATTCCAAATATTCCATTTATCTATAGGTTTTTTCTGTTTAGGTGACAATATTTAAAGGACATAATTGAAACACATCAGATTAAAATTAAAATGTTCTACTTATGTGAAATGATCAAAAGATGAAGCATAATATTGAATTTAAGTATGAGATATTTTACCACATACCATTAACGATCCAAGGGGTGATAGGGTGAAAAGAATAGATGAGCGAGGTGGGAAAGTTTCATCCTTGAACAACTCTGAACTTTTCAATAGCTTTGCCCTCTGCATCAGTGTAGATTCCAGCTGCTTTCCAATGCACAACACAATTTTTTGCTACCTTCTCGGAATATTGCTTACCCGTTACTGGCAAAATCATTGTAACCTTTATCTAGAACTGTTTTACCAAATTAATGGGAACGTTTTTCCTTACATGCCATGTATTTTATGCAAATCAAAGATTTCTTAAAATTTCTGTATGAGAAATTTTCTGCTATCATTGGCTTTGTACAATTCTTTCCAGTGACTACAATAACAAAACCCAGCAAACCATAAATCCATAACACATACTAATCTATGTAACCCCAGAAATAAAACCAAACAAATCAATGTAACCATAAAACCAATATCATTTGATGACATAACCTAGCAAACACTTAAAACAAACGAATCTCAGCAAACGCATCTACATAATCAACATGAAATTACATAAATAGTACACAAAATTTCCAAGTAATCCAGTGGTCAGATCATTTAAGAACAAAAAACCCAGCAAAACCATATAACCGCAAAAATTCATCTCGATTTTGAGCCTTCCAAACTCTTGCAATCCTTATCCGGGGGCTAATGCCTAATAATAATATACCCATCAGAGAAAAAAATGATACACTCTAATCTTCCAACAGTAATTCGAATGGGTTCTCTTGGAAACCAAAAGGGATGCAACCGGTACTATACCATACATTATATCCCAAACTACAGTACTATACCATACATCAAGTATAAATGTAGTATATTTTAACACATATGGGGTGAACAATACCGGAAGAAATGGAGAGAGCAAAACCGGAGAAATCACCACCGGAGAAATGGAGAGAGGACCGCCGGAGTGTACCTCTTCGTCAGACTTGGCTTCCTCGTCGGAGAAGATGGGGGCCTGCGACTGGATGGCAGACGACGACCACAAGAGATCTGAGCGAAAAATGGGATATGATCGACAAAGGGGATCTGATCGAGGCTTGTGAGGATTGATCGAAACAGAGTGATCTGAGAGAGAGAGTGATCTGAGAAAGAGAGATGCGACAGAGAGGGTTTGTGGTTTTAAAAAATCTACTATAAGGTATTTCAAAACCTCTAATTTTTACCTCTAATTTTTTTTTAACCCCTGTTAGCAGCTGTTTGAAATTTGTTTTTATAAACAAGTTTAAAAACGTCATTTCTAATACCGTTGAGTCAAAAACGTTATTTTACCATAGACCTCGTTACAAATAACATTTTTTTAAAAAAAATCGAATTTGAGAATTATGTTTAAAAATAATTGAGTTATGGATATAAGTTTTCATGAGACAGGAGTTCGGAGAAAACCTCCACCTCTTCACTATTCAACTCCCTTTAAGTTCCGGTAATTCGGATCCCTTTTAATGAATGAAGTATTGGGCTTTCTCGATTTATATTAATTGTACTTGGACCATCAATTTTGGGGTCATCAGTTACTATGATCTCTTGAGCAACAGAGTGGCTACATTTACCAAAACACTCTTTATCTCTACCGGTCCTCTCCTAGCCTTTTGTATAGACACTTAATCCTGTGTTGATAGTCCGACTTATCACTTTATGCTGGTGTTTTAAGTGTCACAGGTAATTATTCAAACCAAAAAATGAGATAGTGTTTTGTTTTCGTTANATCTCTACCGGTCCTCTCCTAGCCTTTTGTATAGACACTTAATCCTATGTTGATAGTCCGACTTATCACTTTATGCTGGTGTTTTAAGTGTCACAGGTAATTATTCAAACCAAAAAATGAGATAGTGTTTTGTTTTCGTTAATTATGATAAATGTCATTTTTATTTTTATATTTTTCCTAACGTAATAATTAGTCAAATATTGGGTTTTCGTCTAGCCCAAATAATAGGCAAAGTAACACATATTTGTGTTTTTTCTTTAACAATTTATGCCAATTTACCCCGGCCATTTAACATATTGCTTTATGGCCCCTTCAAGACCCAAGCCCATATTGTTACTAAAACATAGAAGTGTATCCCCTGCAAAAGATGTAAAGCTGCTTTATGTGGAGTCAAGATCTGGTGTGTTACGGATTGATATTTTTGATATGGTCCAAGGAACTTTGCATATATTAGCAAGTAGTTCAGTGAAGATGANCTTACTAAAATATAGAAGTGTATCCCCTGCAAAAGTTGTAAAGCTGCTTTATGTGGAGTCAAGATCTGGTGTGTTACGGATTGATATTTTTGATATGGTCCTAGGAACTTTGCATAAATTAGCAAGTAGTTCAGTGAAGATGATTTTCCCTACTCGAATTTTAGGGATTTATCACGTTTGAAGCGACTCTCAATCCTGGATATCAGTCTGAACTTGACTCCTTGTTTACCAAACTGAGTACATGTGTGTGTTGTGCTTCCTTGTGTGTATTTGTTTTATGTGCTCATTTTTTTTTTTTTTGGGTAAGCCATAAGGTTTATATCGTGGACAACAGTGTACCATGCCATGTACTAGGTATATTCTTTAAGGAACAATACAGAGCATCGAAAATTTTGTTACAATCTAACTTCTGCCCCAGTTCTTTAGACATGGTCTGGTGAACAGGAAGACTATGTTTTCTGGGAACTCTAAGATCAATGTCTTGAACAACATTTTCAGCTGTATAGCTTAATTATCCATACTTAAGTGTTTATATAATCATGATGTTTGCATTATTTAAAAAATGCTCTCTTTTTGCATTCATCGGGAACACCAAATGAACAAACTTAGCCTGGAGTCACTTCTCCCTAAATTTTTCCGAGTTTCCTGCTGCTGAGGTGAATTAGTTCTAAAGAGTTGTTATTTATGTTGTATTGTATATGTGTTTTGTTATCTTAAGGATATTAAGTTGTGTTGCTGCGACTGTGTAGGAAGTAGCAAATCTAATCCCGACATTGGTTAATCTCCTCTTGGTAAGTTAGGCTATTAAGTTGGATTATTTAGCAAGGACATGAGGTTGTATTCAATCTTTATTTGGGTAAAAGTTAGTTTTGTCTGAATTAATTACTTAAACTTGTAATTTTGTAGAAGCTCTTGTGCTTGGACCCGAATGAAAGAATTGAAGTAAGGAGGCTTTGAATCGAGAAGTCTGAGATACACAACTATCTGCTAATATGGAAACTTTCAATATACTACAAGTACTCTCATAAACTTACGTTAAAATTGTGTTTCTATTTTAAGATAGTAAGGAATGTGATAGAATTGTGGATGTGAAATTTCTAGAAGCTACAAAAATATTAATTATCCTCCCATTTTACTCATTACTAAGACAGTATAAAGTAACTAGGCTCACTTATACTTATACCCACCACATTTTATAAGTGACTTTACTACTTTATATCCACACACACATGTCAACCATAAACTATTTTTGCTCCGTGTCTTCTTATCCCACGACTTTCTTTCCCAACTAAATCTCACATTCAGAGACAAATCCTACCTAGTCTTCTAGCGTGGATTTTTCAGAGAACACATGGAATACACATCAAACAAAGCAACATTGTTTTCAATAAATCTTGTTGGATCTTCCGGACCGAATCCTCCTGAGCCTTCCCAAGCAAAGTGCTACTGAAATAATGTCTAAAACCCGATAGTGGCTGGCTGGCTTCATAATCTTTTGGAACGGAATTTTGCATGGTAACCCCTATGACTTATGGATGAGGAGGAATCACGTCTTAATTTCCTCCGCTCCTACTGGTAAGACATGACATGTGGGAAGAGAAGACTTCTGAAATCCTCTTAATTGGTTGTATATATATATATATATCTATATTAGATATCCCGTGTGATACACAAAATTTATTATTTTTTGATATCATCATCTAACTATCAAATTTTTTATAATCGTAATTTCGCTGGACAATTCCTATTACAGTTAAAATGATATTCATTTATATTTTAAATAATTTTAAAAAATAATTAAAAATTTTAATTTTTAACCCAAAAAAAACAAAAAACGTGGAAGTTGTTACAAAGGATACATGTAATATTTTGATTGGAGTAAGCTAATTAAATATTTTAGAATTCTAGCAATTTAGCATTTAGGGAGGAAAACCTTCTCAAGATCTATCATCCCTAATTTGATTGTTTTATATATATGTTATTAGGCATTCTGTGCGATGCATGAAATTTGTTATCATTTCTTATTACCAAATCCTTTGTTACCATAATATCTTTGGACAATTTCTATTAGTATTAAAATGATATTTATTTATATTTTAAATAATTAAGAAAAATGATTAAAAGTTTAAATTTTAAAGTGGTTTTAAAAAAAAATAATGTTATTGGGACATAATTTGGGGACTTAATGATTACGACCATTAGATTGTCAGTAAATCCTAGCATTAAATTATTAGTGGATCCAACACTATCAATCTAATGGTCATGATGTATTAAGTCCTCATATTGTGTCCCAACATTGTCAATCTAATGGTTACAATACATTAAGTCCTCAAATTGTGTCCCTAAATTATGTGCCGATAGCATTAGTGTTAAAAAAAATGGTAAGAGTGTTTACAAAGGACACATGCAATGTTTTAATTAGAGTGAACTAATAAAATATTTCAAAATTCTAGTATAGTAAGACTTCTCATGGTCTCTCATCTGCCTAAATTGATGGCTTTATATAGTATAGTAGATATTACACCCTTAATTTGGTCCCGGTAGGTGACGGTTTGTCTCATAGTTTAGTAGGTCTAGCATTTGAGAAATTCTCGTTCATGGCACCGACGGATTGCATTAGGGTTTAGCCTTATGTATATATATATATATATATATATTACAGTTGCTCACAAGGTATGATTATTGTTTCTTGTAATTAGTAAAATTTCACAAATATGTAATAAATCTATTTTCTTCCAAANGATATGGTCCTAGGAACTTTGCATAAATTAGCAAGTAGTTCAGTGAAGATGATTTTCCCTACTCGAATTTTAGGGATTTATCACGTTTGAAGCGACTCTCAATCCTGGATATCAGTCTGAACTTGACTCCTTGTTTACCAAACTGAGTACATGTGTGTGTTGGTGTTGTGCTTCCTTGTGTGTATTTGTGTTATGTGCTCATTTATTTTTTTTTGGGTAAGCCATAAGGTTTATATCGTGGACAACAGTGTACCATGCCATGTACTAGGTATATTCTTTAAGGAACAATACAGAGCATCGAAAATTTTGTTACAATCTAACTTCTGCCCCAGTTCTTTAGACATGGTCTGGTGAAGAGGAAGACTATGTTTTCTGGGCACTCTAAGATCAATGTCTTGAACAACATTTTCAGCTGTATAGCTTAATTATCCATACTTAAGTGTGTATATAATCATGATGTTTGCATTATTTAAAAAATGCTCTCTTTTTGCATTCATCGGGAACACCAAATGAACAAACTTAGCCTGGAGTCACTTCTCCCTAAATTTTTCCGAGTTTCCTGCTGCTGAGGTGAATTAGTTCTAAAGAGTTGTTATTTATGTTGTATTGTATATGTGTTTTGTTATCTTAAGGATATTAAGTTGTGTTGCTGCGACTGTGTAGGAAGTAGCAAATCTAATCCCGACATTGGTTAATCTCCTCTTGGTAAGTTAGGCTATTAAGTTGGATTATTTAGCAAGGACATGAGGTTGTATTCAATCTTTATTTGGGTAAAAGTTAGTTTTGTCTGAATTAATTACTTAAACTTGTAATTTTGTAGAAGCTCTTGTGCTTGGACCCGAATGAAAGAATTGAAGTAAGGAGGCTTTGAATCGAGAAGTCTGAGATACACAACTATCTGCTAATATGGAAACTTTCAATATACTACAAGTACTCTCATAAACTTACGTTAAAATTGTGTTTCTATTTTGAGATAGTAAGGAATGTGATAGAATTGTGGATGTGAAATTTCTAGAAGCTACAAAAATATTAATTATCCTCCCATTTTACTCATTACTAAGATAGTATAAAGTAACTAGGCTCACTTATACTTATACCCACCACATTTTATAAGTGACTTGACTACTTTATATCCACACACACATGTCAACCATAAACTATTTTTGCTCCGTGTCTTCTTATCCCACGACTTTCTTTCCCAACTAAATCTCACATTCAGAGACAAATCCTACCTAGTCTTCTAGCGTGGATTTTTCAGAGAACACATGGAATACACATCAAACAAAGCAACATTGTTTTCAATAAATCTTGTTGGATCTTCCGGACCGAATCCTCCTGAGCCTTCCCAAGCAAAGTGCTACTGAAATAATGTCTAAAACCCGATAGTGGCTGGCTGGCTTCATAATCTTTTGGAACGGAATTTTGCATGGTAACCCCTATGACTTATGGATGAGGAGGAATCACGTCTTAATTTCCTCCGCTCCTACTGGTAAGACATGACATGTGGGAAGAGAAGACTTCTGAAATCCTCTTAATTGGTTGTATATATATATATATATCTATATTAGATATCCCGTGTGATACACAAAATTTATTATTTTTTGATATCATCATCTAACTATCAAATTTTTTATAATCGTAATTTCGCTGGACAATTCCTATTACAGTTAAAATGATATTCATTTATATTTTAAATAATTTTAAAAAATAATTAAAAATTTTAATTTTTAACCCAAAAAAAACAAAAAACGTGGAAGTTGTTACAAAGGATACATGTAATATTTTGATTGGAGTAAGCTAATTAAATATTTTAGAATTCTAGCAATTTAGCATTTAGGGAGGAAAACCTTCTCAAAATCTATCATCCCTAATTTGATTGTTTTATATATATGTTATTAGGCATTCCGTGCGTGCGATGCATGAAATTTGTTATCATTTCTTATTACCAAATCCTTTGTTACCATAATATCTTTGGACAATTTCTATTAGTACTAAAATGATATTTATTTATATTTTAAATAATTAAGAAAAATGATTAAAAGTTTAAATTTTAAAGTGGTTTTAAAAAAAAATAATGTTATTGGGACATAATTTGGGGACTTAATGATTACGACCATTAGATTGTCAGTAAATCCTAGCATTAAATTATTAGTGGATCCAACACTATCAATCTAATGGTCATGATGTATTAAGTCCTCATATTGTGTCCCAACATTGTCAATCTAATGGTTACAATACATTAAGTCCTCAAATTGTGTCCCTAAATTATGTGCCGATAGCATTAGTGTTAAAAAAAATGGTAAGAGTGTTTACAAAGGACACATGCAATGTTTTAATTAGAGTGAACTAATAAAATATTTCAAAATTCTAGTATAGTAAGACTTCTCATGGTCTCTCATCTGCCTAAATTGATGGCTTTATATAGTATAGTAGATATTACACCCTTAATTTGGTCCCGGTAGGTGACGGTTTGTCTCATAGTTTAGTAGGTCTAGCATTTGAGAAATTCTCGTTCATGGCACCGACGGATTGCATTAGGGTTTAGCCTTATGTATATATATATATATATATATATTACAGTTGCTCACAAGTCACAAGGTATGATTAATGTTTCTTGTAATTAGTAAAATTTCACAAATATGTAATAAATCTATTTTCTTCCAAACAATTGATGTAAAGAATAAAACAGATAGTTCTTATCAAATCTTTTGAGTCAAATCAATATATAAAGGAAAGTAATTATTCATTACGGAAAAAAAAAAATAAAAGAAAAAATTATATACCTTACAAAGGAAACAGAACCCTCTACCCGATATTGGTTTGGAGTCATTGCCATTATATATATATNTCTGAACTTGACTCCTTGTTTACCAAACTGAGTACATGTGTGTGTTGTGCTTCCTTGTGTGTATTTGTTTTATGTGCTCATTTTTTTTTTTTTTNTTATATACCTTACAAAGGAAACAGAACCCTCTACCCGATATTGGTTTGGAGTCATTGCCATTATATATATATATATATATAGCAGAGTGTAATATTAAGTTGATAGCCCAGCCAAGAAAGCCACTCCAGTGGCAGGTAACCAGGAGGAGCCATATATAAATTGAGCAACTGTNTGTACTAGGTATATTCTTTAAGGAACAATACAGAGCATCGAAAATTTTGTTACAATCTAACTTCTGCCCCAGTTCTTTAGACATGGTCTGGTGAAGAGGAAGACTATGTTTTCTGGGCACTCTAAGATCAATGTCTTGAACAACATTTTCAGCTGTATAGCTTAATTATCCATACTTAAGTGTGTATATAATCATGATGTTTGCATTATTTAAAAAATGCTCTCTTTTTGCATTCATCGGGAACACCAAATGAACAAACTTAGCCTGGAGTCACTTCTCCCTAAATTTTTCCGAGTTTCCTGCTGCTGAGGTGAATTAGTTCTAAAGAGTTGTTATTTATGTTGTATTGTATATGTGTTTTGTTATCTTAAGGATATTAAGTTGTGTTGCTGCGACTGTGTAGGAAGTAGCAAATCTAATCCCGACATTGGTTAATCTCCTCTTGGTAAGTTAGGCTATTAAGTTGGATTATTTAGCAAGGACATGAGGTTGTATTCAATCTTTATTTGGGTAAAAGTTAGTTTTGTCTGAATTAATTACTTAAACTTGTAATTTTGTAGAAGCTCTTGTGCTTGGACCCGAATGAAAGAATTGAAGTAAGGAGGCTTTGAATCGAGAAGTCTGAGATACACAACTATCTGCTAATATGAAAACTTTCAATATACTACAAGTACTCTCATAAACTTACGTTAAAATTGTGTTTCTATTTTGAGATANTAAAAGAAAAAATTATATACCTTACAAAGGAAACAGAACCCTCTACCCGATGTTGGTTTGGAGTCATTGCCATTATATATATATATATATATATATATATATAGAGCAGAGTGTAATATTAAGTTGATAGCCCAGCCAAGAAAGCCACTCCAGTGGCAGGTAACCAGGAGGAGCCATATATAAATTGAGCAACTGTGAATTTGCTAGCCTCGGCAGTTGATGTGATCACCCGGTACCCGGGCCATTTGACCCGTTGCCCCAAGGCCGCTCCAGGACCAAAATTCATATACTCACCATAGTATAGGGTATCAAGTGCAAAGTTTGCATTCCATTCGAGCCATCCTCTAGGGTGAATGTGATCGCCCATGTATGATTGCATGTAGACTGTTCGTGAGTACATTTTCCACGGACGGCCCAGATAAGTTGGGAAGCTGCCCTTTGAGGCCTCGAGTTCTGGTGTTGCTACGACCCGGCAGGCATGGATTGATATTCCTGTGTTTTGATTTGGGTCTTTTCTGTTTTGGGCCGTTATAGTGTTCTTCTGCGTGGCCATGGGCTTTCGTGCATATAAGCTGCAGTTTTGGAACACCACTGCGGCATTACCGAATATGAAGTCTACCGTTCCGTATACGTCACATTCCCGGAAAAATTGGCGTTGTGAGTGTACGTAAAGTGTGTCTTGATATCCTATAATGTTGCACTGGTAGACCACTGCGTGGTCCGCACCGACTCGAAGAGCCACTGCTTGGTGTTTGCTTGGTCCAGCCCAGTTCTCAAATGATATGTCCCGTGCAATGAAACCAGCACCAGTAGCCGCTGTATGCCAAGCAAGTCAAAACTGTTAAGCTCAAACGTCCACATAACTCAATTTTGGTCATACACGCATATATTCCAAGAGAGCCAACAATGTTATGTTAGGTAAGAAAGGACCTTTACCATGAGATAGATGCCAATCATCATGACCCACTTTACCTCCAATAATGTGATCTTCTTTATACTATACTATACTATACTATACTATTATTATTATTATAGCCACCACTTAAACATCCCTGTTTTCTAGTAAGAAAAATTGATTGTACCACGGGATATACACTGAATCAGAGGAGGATAAGAATCACAAAATAAAACTTGGAGCGCTTGTAAGTGGAAAAAATAGATAGATATAGATGTAGGAAAGATACAGCTAGGCATAGTTTGGAATTACCATCAATTTCAACGTATTTCAACGAGACCTAGCTAGGAGACAAATTCCCNATGATTTTCCCTACTCGAATTTTAGGGATTTATCACGTTTGAAGCGACTCTCAATCCTGGATATCAGCCTGAACTTGACTCCTTGTTTACCAAACTGAGTACATGTGTGTGTTGGTGTTGTGCTTCCTTGTGTGTATTTGTGTTATGTGCTCATTTATTTTTTTTTGGGTAAGCCATAAGGTTTATATCGTGGACAACAGTGTACCATGCCATGTACTAGGTATATTCTTTAAGGAACAATACAGAGCATCGAAAATTTTGTTACAATCTAACTTCTGCCCCAGTTCTTTAGACATGGTCTGGTGAAGAGGAAGACTATGTTTTCTGGGCACTCTAAGATCAATGTCTTGAACAACATTTTCAGCTGTATAGCTTAATTATCCATACTTAAGTGTGTATATAATCATGATGTTTGCATTATTTAAAAAATGCTCTCTTTTTGCATTCATCGGGAACACCAAATGAACAAACTTAGCCTGGAGTCACTTCTCCCTAAATTTTTCCGAGTTTCCTGCTGCTGAGGTGAATTAGTTCTAAAGAGTTGTTATTTATGTTGTATTGTATATGTGTTTTGTTATCTTAAGGATATTAAGTTGTGTTGCTGCGACTGTGTAGGAAGTAGCAAATCTAATCCCGACATTGGTTAATCTCCTCTTGGTAAGTTAGGCTATTAAGTTGGATTATTTAGCAAGGACATGAGGTTGTATTCAATCTTTATTTGGGTAAAAGTTAGTTTTGTCTGAATTAATTACTTAAACTTGTAATTTTGTAGAAGCTCTTGTGCTTGGACCCGAATGAAAGAATTGAAGTAAGGAGGCTTTGAATCGAGAAGTCTGAGATACACAACTATCTGCTAATATGGAAACTTTCAATATACTACAAGTACTCTCATAAACTTACGTTAAAATTGTGTTTCTATTTTGAGATAGTAAGGAATGTGATAGAATTGTGGATGTGAAATTTCTAGAAGCTACAAAAATATTAATTATCCTCCCATTTTACTCATTACTAAGATAGTATAAAGTAACTAGGCTCACTTATACTTATACCCACCACATTTTATAAGTGACTTGACTACTTTATATCCACACACACATGTCAACCATAAACTATTTTTGCTCCGTGTCTTCTTATCCCACGACTTTCTTTCCCAACTAAATCTCACATTCAGAGACAAATCCTACCTAGTCTTCTAGCGTGGATTTTTCAGAGAACACATGGAATACACATCAAACAAAGCAACATTGTTTTCAATAAATCTTGTTGGATCTTCCGGACCGAATCCTCCTGAGCCTTCCCAAGCAAAGTGCTACTGAAATAATGTCTAAAACCCGATAGTGGCTGGCTGGCTTCATAATCTTTTGGAACGGAATTTTGCATGGTAACCCCTATGACTTATGGATGAGGAATCACGTCTTAATTTCCTCCGCTCCTACTGGTAAGACATGACATGTGGGAAGAGAAGACTTCTGAAATCCTCTTAATTGGTTGTATATATATATATATATCTATATTAGATATCCCGTGTGATACACAAAATTTATTATTTTTTGATATCATCATCTAACTATCAAATTTTTTATAATCGTAATTTCGCTGGACAATTCCTATTACAGTTAAAATGATATTCATTTATATTTTAAATAATTTTAAAAAATAATTAAAAATTTAAATTTTTAACCCAAAAAAAACAAAAAACGTGGAAGTTGTTACAAAGGATACATGTAATATTTTGATTGGAGTAAGCTAATTAAATATTTTAGAATTCTAGCAATTTAGCATTTAGGGAGGAAAACCTTCTCAAGATCTATCATCCCTAATTTGATTGTTTTATATATATGTTATTAGGCATTCTGTGCGATGCATGAAATTTGTTATCATTTCTTATTACCAAATCCTTTGTTACCATAATATCTTTGGACAATTTCTATTAGTATTAAAATGATATTTATTTATATTTTAAATAATTAAGAAAAATGATTAAAAGTTTAAATTTTAAAGTGGTTTTAAAAAAAAATAATGTTATTGGGACATAATTTGGGGACTTAATGATTACGACCATTAGATTGTCAGTAAATCTTAGCATTAAATTATTAGTGGATCCAACACTATCAATCTAATGGTCATGATGTATTAAGTCCTCATATTGTGTCCCAACATTGTCAATCTAATGGTTACAATACATTAAGTCCTCAAATTGTGTCCCTAAATTATGTGCCGATAGCATTAGTGTTAAAAAAAATGGTAAGAGTGTTTACAAAGGACACATGCAATGTTTTAATTAGAGTGAACTAATAAAATATTTCAAAATTCTAGTATAGTAAGACTTCTCATGGTCTCTCATCTGCCTAAATTGATGGCTTTATATAGTATAGTAGATATTACACCCTTAATTTGGTCCCGGTAGGTGACGGTTTGTCTCATAGTTTAGTAGGTCTAGCATTTGAGAAATTCTCGTTCATGGCACCGACGGATTGCATTAGGGTTTAGCCTTATGTATATATATATATATATATATATTACAGTTGCTCACAAGTCACAAGGTATGATTAATGTTTCTTGTAATTAGTAAAATTTCACAAATATGTAATAAATCTATTTTCTTCCAAACAATTGATGTAAAGAATAAAACAGATAGTTCTTATCAAATCTTTTGAGTCAAATCAATATATAAAGGAAAGTAATTATTCATTACGGAAAAAAAAAAATAAAAGAAAAAATTATATACCTTACAAAGGAAACAGAACCCTCTACCCGATATTGGTTTGGAGTCATTGCCATTATATATATATATATATATATATATATATAGAGCAGAGTGTAATATTAAGTTGATAGCCCAGCCAAGAAAGCCACTCCAGTGGCAGGTAACCAGGAGGAGCCATATATAAATTGAGCAACTGTGAATTTGCTAGCCTCGGCAGTTGATGTGATCACCCGGTACCCGGGCCATTTGACCCGTTGCCCCAAGGCCGCTCCAGGACCAAAATTCATATACTCACCATAGTATAGGGTATCAAGTGCAAAGTTTGCATTCCATTCGAGCCATCCTCTAGGGTGAATGTGATCGCCCATGTATGATTGCATGTAGACTGTTCGTGAGTACATTTTCCACGGACGGCCCAGATAAGTTGGGAAGCTGCCCTTTGAGGCCTCGAGTTCTGGTGTTGCTACGACCCGGCAGGCATGGATTGATATTCCTGTGTTTTGATTTGGGTCTTTTCTGTTTTGGGCCGTTATAGTGTTCTTCTGCGTGGCCATGGGCTTTCGTGCATATAAGCTGCAGTTTTGGAACACCACTGCGGCATTACCGAATATGAAGTCTACCGTTCCGTATACGTCACATTCCCGGAAAAATTGGCGTTGTGAGTGTACGTAAAGTGTGTCTTGATATCCTATAATGTTGCACTGGTAGACCACTGCGTGGTCCGCACCGACTCGAAGAGCCACTGCTTGGTGTTTGCTTGGTCCAGCCCAGTTCTCAAATGATATGTCCCGTGCAATGAAACCAGCACCAGTAGCCGCTGTATGCCAAGCAAGTCAAAACTGTTAAGCTCAAACGTCCACATAACTCAATTTTGGTCATACACGCATATATTCCAAGAGAGCCAACAATGTTATGTTAGGTAAGAAAGGACCTTTACCATGAGATAGATGCCAATCATCATGACCCACTTTACCTCCAATAATGTGATCTTCTTTATACTATACTATACTATACTATACTATTATTATTATTATTATAGCCANTGTCATACACGCATATATTCCAAGAGAGCCAACAATGTTATGTTAGGTAAGAAAGAGAATATGTTTTTGTGGAGGACCTTTACCATGAGATAGATGCCAATCATCATGACCCACTTTACCTCCAATAATGTGATCTTCTTTATACTATACTATACTATACTATACTATTATTATTATTATTATAGCCACCACTTAAACATCCCTGTTTTCTAGTAAGAAAAATTGATTGTACCACGGGATATACACTGAATCAGAGGAGGATAAGAATCACAAAATAAAACTTGGAGCGCTTGTAAGTGGAAAAAATAGATAGATATAGATGTAGGAAAGATACAGCTAGGCATAGTTTGGAATTACCATCAATTTCAACGTATTTCAACGAGACCTAGCTAGGAGACAAATTCCCNTTTCTAGTAAGAAAACTTGATTGTACCACGGGATATACACTGAATCAGAGGAGGATAAGAATCACAAAATAAAACTTGGAGCGCTTGTAAGTGGAAAAAATAGATAGATATGGATGTAGGAAAGATACAGCTAGGCATAGTTTGGAATTACCATCAATTTCAACGACACCTAGCTAGGAGACAAATTNCCCCCCCCCCCAAAAAAAAAAAATTCATTATAACGGCAAGGATGGAACCAAAATTTTGTCATGAGGGCGGGGGGTGGGGGGGAGGAACCAAATACAATGGCATTGTTTAAAATTTTATTAAATGGTGTCACTCAAAAAATTATTGATAATATCACATCTTAATTGTAATTAACTCATCAAANGGGGAGGAACCAAATACAATGGCATTGTTTAAAATTTTATTAAATGGTGTCACTCAAAAAATTATTGATAATATCACATCTTAATTGTAATTAACTCATCAAAATCCATTTTATGTGGTATTATCGTATAAAAATAATTTAGGTCACAAAATATCACAATTTATTTATCTCTTTACTTATGATATGGTGCAATGATTACCTATTATGTATCATCAAAAATATTAATTTAACATGACATCACCATAAAATTTACGCATCTCTTAATGAATATTAGAGATATTGTCACATTTCTAACTTGATTTTATCACGCCTTTTCTTATTTTTCTTTTGGCCAACAACTCATCTAAGCATTATTCTTTTTTAAGAAAAGCACTCACACGAGTGATGAATATCCACCACTTAGTTATTAAATATCGAGTCATCAAACCTTTTGAATATAGTAAATAACATATCCTAAGAAAAATAAGAATTTTTAAAATATAAAGGGAGACAAATGATTTTCAAATAACTAGAGGTAGTATAGATAATTTTGGAAATTTGGGGGGGGGGGGATGGCCATTCTTGTGTAATCAATAATATCACGTTAGCATTGTCACATAATATCATCAACTAATAATATACAGACAAATAAAAAAATCAATCCCACACAAAGCCAATAACTACTCGTCCATGTAAGTTAATAACTAGCTAAGTAGAGTTCACTTTATTTATTGAAGATTTTATTATTAATTGGTAACCATATTATTAATATTAACATGATATTACTATTGTATTGAATATTCTCTCCCACTCCCATCTTTTAAAGGGTCATCAAGAGTATATATGGTACCACAAAATATTGGTAGTTGTTTGTAAAAACTCCATAATTTATATGATAAAAAAAAAAAAAAAGGTATTCAACTTTTCAGAAACAATTGTTAAATAATGAATGTACGGCACGAAGAAAAATAATGTGATAGATTCGATTCAAATTTAACAAAGTATAATTTATCAATTATTTAAAATGCATGATTACAAAAGTCATATTTTTCATTATTCTTTATCACAAATCATATGTTCTCTGAAATAATAAATAGCCATTTTTGAGCATATATACTAGCAAGCAAGAATTGTTTTTTACCATCCTCGGTTTAGTTGTATTGTTGCAACTTGCAAACAAATTGACCACAACACGCATTGCCACAACTGAAGTACATGAACACAACCAACCAAGGCAAACAAAATTGACCAAACAGTGAATAAAAATAGAGGAATTTACCGAAAGACGCGGTGTGGAATGTCGTCACCTTATCGTACACACTTTTTCCTCCTGAAATCACCGTCTTGCCCTTCCCATCCCCAATAAACATCAACTTCCTCTTCTTCCTCCCCACCTTCAAATTATCCTCTGCATACCTGACATTGGATTGAACAACACAGACACTTCTCATTAAATCCCATTTTAGCCCCCCCATTCACTTCTACATATGTAATTGCCAAAACTCACCAGGCATTTTCAAGGTACTCTGAGATGAGAACCCAACCCACCAATATCCATTTTTTAAGGTAACCTTTGGTATTCTCATGTTTTTTTATTTTATTTTTTTATTTTAATTACTTTGTTTTGAAAACAAGACTAAAATATGAAAACATAAAAAAGGAAAAATGCACGGTTAATAGAAGATTTAATGAGATCTTGGGTTCAATTCTCTTTAACAACAAAAAATGAATTTTTTTGCTCGAGTATAAAAGGCTCCCTCCTTTCACCCCTCTGTGTCGTCTCTCTCTTGATGCCAACGACGAACATAGAAATCGAAACCATCGCTATTGCCAATCACTACAAAGGAGCTCTTAGATTCAGACGTCATTACTCCATCTCCAAGATCAAATTTTACCTCATTTCCGTTGAGCTCTATTTGTACCTCCAAATTTTAGATCTATACCTCCAAATTTTAGATCTATGTATATATTATTATATTTGAGTGTGTATGAGAGAGAGAATATGTAAGAGAGNAGATCTATACCTCCAAATTTTAGATCTATGTATATATTATTATATTTGAGTGTGTAGGAGAGAGATAATATGTAAGAGGGAAGTGAATTTTGGGGGGTTTTGAGGGTGTTGAGTGGTTGCTGATGGGGATGGGTTTTCGGGGGGTGGTGAGTTTTGGTGGCTGGCTGGTGGTGAGTGATATTTCAATTGGGTGGCTAGTGGTGGTTGTGGGTAGTTGGTGGTGGTGAGTTTTGGATATGGGTGGTTCGTAACGNTGGGGATGGGTTTTCGGGGGGTGGTGAGTTTTGGTGGCTGGCTGGTGGTGAGTGATGTTTCAATTGGGTGGCTAGTGGTGGTTGTGGGTAGTTGGTGGTGGTGAGTTTTGGATATGGGTGGTTCGTAACGGTGGGTATAGATTTTCGGTATAATATTAAACATGTATTTTTATTTTTGTTTTTATAATTTTTTAAAATAAAATAAAAACGTTAAAATAACACGCATCCATCCATGGTTGGTTGCAAATGTCAAAATCAAAGCAAAAAAGTTTCACGTGAAAAAACTAAAAAGCAGAATGGTGATGGCTTTGAAGTCAATTACCCAATCACTTCAAAAAGAATGACGCACCGACACCCTAACATAAGTCTGTGTAACAATTGACATTTTAGATATCCAAAAAGAAAGCAATAATAAGTTAATTAAAGTGAAGGAAAAGCTTTCCACTTTACTGTAGATATATGTGAACTTACTTTCCTTCCCTGACGTAAATTATGGTTCGACGATCACTGTACTCAGGCGCCTTCTTAATAGCCTCCGCAATCGTCTTGTAAGTTCCATTACCATCCTTGGACACCACAATATCCGCTTGTATTCCATGCACCGGCATATCCAACAACATTCGATCCCTCCCAGACAACCATTTCGGAAAATGCCCAACTTCTTCATCCTTCGACTCCAACATTCTCCGACGACGATTCTGTATCGGAATTCCTGAAAAATCGTCGTCCCCACTGGCCGCCGAATATATCGCCAGACAATTACTCACCAATTCAGACAAGTCCTTCAATCTATTACCCATCTGATCCTTCACGAACCCATTCACCTCCTCAAATCCCTCCGTACACGTGTCCTGGTTCGTCAGCGCCGCACTTAGCCACGTTATCACGTCCTGCGTGGATCCAGCCTGGGCTAAGTTGAGGTCCGGTGACGGAGAGACGGAGGTGAGAGAACGTGTGAGAAGCTCCACCGAGTCGTCCAAGAGCTCGAGGCAATCGTCGTACGCGGACCGTACACGCGTTTCCATGTCCATATTGCTGATGTCCGAAGCTATGTATAGGGCTTTATTGAAACGTAGGAGAGTCATGTTGACGGAAATGTGGACGAGGTCTTTGTCGGAGGCGGAGAGTGCTCCGGGGAAGTCGAGGAGCGAGTTGACACAGAGAGTTGGGTACCGAGTTCGGCTACAGGTTCGGGATATGGCTTGGGTGGGCTTCCGGTGCATTCTGCCAACGGATCTGGTTCGGAGACCCACTAGGAGACCCACTGAGACGGCCGACAGAAGAATTAGTGTGAGTGAGAAAATTAGAAGGAATTTGAGTTTGGACTTCCGGGTGGTGGTCGGCGGTGTTGAGGTGTCTTCGAGTATATCTGGTCTCGAAGAACCACCCGTCCCGGTAGATCCGAGTCTGCCGTAGCCCATATTTTTCAATTACTACTGGAGAGTAGAGGAATTAAAATGCAGGTAGGGGTAAGGAAATCTTTAAGAGAAAGAGAGAGCGCATGAGTTTCTGAGAAGGAGAAAGAACAAATTACTATTACTATTACTATTCAAAACGAAAGAGAGAGAGAGATAGAGAATTTTTCTNGAGTTTCTGAGAAGGAGAAAGAACAAATTACTATTACTATTACTATTCAAAACGAAAGAGAGAGAGAGATAGAGAATTTTTCTGGCTTATATTCTTTCGGATGGGAAGATGAATTAATGTATGGAAGGAGATGGAGTGGGCGTGGGATAGTAGTGTGGGTAGTCAGTCCCTTTTAATACTATATAATATATGGCAGTGAATGCTGGAGAGAGAGAGAGAGAGAGAGAGAGGGAAGTTGGTGTGCTGTCGATATCGAGAGCATTAGCTGTCCTCTACTTCCAGCACTGCGCACTGGAGTACTGTCTGATTGAGAAGGCGGTTGTTCCTTCTTTGTCATGCTTTTCTCTTAATATTCTCTCTCTCTTGATTTTCAGAATAGGCCAAGGTTAATTATGTTTAAGGTTAAGGCTGCAGTACTGCATTCGATATGTAACTGTCTTCATTAATTTTAAATTAGTTAAGTAGTTATAATTATCGATCAAAAAAATAAAATAAAAGTAAAAAATGATTCATGTGACATATTTTTACTTGTCAAAAAATAAAAATATAAAATGTTTTGGTTATAGTTATAGGGCCCATTTTTAAAGTGAGAATATACAGGATGGAATCTTCCTTAATTTGCGTGCTGTGATATGTCTGCTTATTTTATTAATATTTTTATTTGAATTATCGAGCTCATTTTTTGTAGGACTTGACTACTGTATTATTGAATAAAAAAAATTCAACATCGTACTTCTAAAATTTATTATTATTTTTGTGTATTTTATAATTTATATTGGTATTTTTATAAAAAAAATTATTAGTTTTGTAAATTTTTTTACTATTTTTATTATTGGTGTGATAATTATTTTTATCACACCACAATAGAGATTAAAATATTTATAAAATTGATAAATATTAATACAATACCAAATTTTTATTTTTTTTGAGTACCATAAGTAACTCCATTTTTTGTACGAGAGGGTGGGGGAAATTTGCGAAGTGAAAGCAAACTTTTTATGGCATTAGGACATATTGTAACTGAGGGAGAAGAAGTAACTGAACTACCCGTCCCACTCCACCACCTACAGGCTGCTAGCTCTAACAATGGCTAGCAGAGGGTAACATTTATTCCATCTTCTAGTAGGTCAATCGTTCACCTCTGTTTTAGATTTTGCGGTTCGTATCGAATTGAATTGAATGAGAGTACATTGTTCTCTTTTATTTTAGACTGATATTAATATAGTATAGAGATTTAAATTAGTGTAATTATTAGATTAATAGTGAATTCACTACTAGATAGTAATTCATTTAAAATATAGTGTATATAGGTAAACAACAAATTTTGATAGCTGTCGGCCATTAATAAGTAACCAGATATGAGATGTTATTGCATGCCTCCTCTTGTTTGTTCCCTACATTTTTTTTATGAGATTTCGTTGATTTTGCTTAAAGTTATACTAGATGGATAAAAAAAAACAAGGACCAAATGACATATCATTACTTTAATGAGAAAAATTAAAATTTCAAATGTGTAGACCACAATTATGATAATGTCATGTAATTTAGTCCCTGTTTTTTTATTAGTCTAGCATTACTCATGTTTAATATATATATATATATATTTTTTTCATTTAGGTGCATGTTGTACATTCTGTATGTTGACACACAGTGGGGAACATACTCTGCATAATTTACATGTTGGCTTAAAATTGGAAAAGAGTGAACTAATTACTTTTTTTTTTTTTGGGTCAATCAGATTATATTTCTATCATTTGAAAAGAATGAAGTTTACAAGAATCAAAACAATTACAAACTATTTTAACAGAAAAACACATATCAAAAGAAAGCACCCTACAGTAAAGTAAAACACACATATCAAAAGAAAGCACCCTACAGTAAAGTAAAACACAGGAGCCAAAATCATCCTACTCCCTCATGTGTTTCCTTTTCACACATCCTTTCCAAAACCTCAGTAGGGCAACACATCCAACCAGGAGAAAGCATATCTCTGCTTTTCTGTTTTGCAACCCAATGTACAATCTTATTGCTTTTTCTACGCACATATTGTATTTCAATCTTAGGAATCAAATGTATGTATTCTCCAATATCCCTCAAGATAGCCTTAAACTCCCTCAAAAAACAATTATTACCATTATTCAAAGCATCAACACATGCTTTGGAGTCTGACTCCACTATTAGTAAAGGATACCCTGCAGCTATGGCTATACAACAAGCCTGTCTAATGGCGCATGCTTCCACTATTATGGCTGAGTTTGTGGCAAGCTTAGCTGCATTATCCTGTATTAAGATTCCTTCACTGTCTCTAAAGACTACTCCAAATGTCCCTTTTTTTTGATCTTGCAACCAAGCCCCATCATAATTAACTTTTACCCAACCCTTTGGCAGAGCTTTCCATACATCTACTTTACTCTCTTTCTTTTTACAATTATCATGCTCATTCATAACACAGCCCCTCCATTCCTCAACGACAAAGATAGCTTGGCTTATCACTCTTCTAGGCAAAATTTGAACCCAATTATATACCCAGTTATTTTTGCATTTCCATATAGCCCACAACAGTGAAGCTACTAGTGTCTGATGACACAATCCTTCCTCTCCTTTACCTTGTTGTTTCAGCACCTCCAAAACCCACTCTTCAAACCTTGTTATCTTCTGTCTATCAACAAGTATCTTTAGAGGAGAGTCTTTCCAAACTTCTCTAACCCAGGAACAAAGTAAAAATGCATGCTCTATAGTCTCCTCCGTCTCCCCACAAATAGGACATAAAGGAGATTTCAGAATTTCTCTTCTCCAAAGATTCCAATTAGTAGCTAGGGCATTTGACACTACCCTCCACACAAACAATTTGATTTTTGGCAGAGCACTGATTTTCCAAACAGTCATCCATAGTTCCCCTGGGATCATATAAGAAGAAGAAGCAGAAGCCTGTCCTTCATTAAGGGGGATAGCCGAAGTCAAACTATTATAGCCACTCTTCACTGTATACTGCCCATTCATAGTACCACTCTATCTAGCCTTATCATTTTGCTGGGTAAAACTAATGGGTAAAATTAAAATGATTTCTGAAACAATAGGAGAGAAGAGAAACTTAGTCAAATCCAGATTCCACTTCATCTGTGGAAAAAGAATCAAATCCTTCACCCAAATCAACTGACTATGCTTTACATTGGGAATTTCCTTATAATCAGGCACCCAAGGATCTTCCCATATTCTGGTATGCTCTCCATTTCCTATAAGCATACTATACCCTTTTTTCAGGACATCTCTTCCAGCCAACAAACTCCTCCAAATCCATGAGCTATTTGTGCTTATATTGGCATCCCAAATAGAAACATTAGGAAAATACTTCTTTTTCAAGATCCTTACCCAAAAAACTTCGGGGTTTTGAATCATTCTCCAAATTTGCTTAGCCAACAAAGCCTCATTGAACCTCTCCAAATCATGGAATCCCAACCCCCCATCCTCCTTTTTTCTTGTCAACATATCCCAGTTTTTTCAATGTATCTCTCTTTCCCCATTGTTCTTACTCCACCAAAATCTAGAGATTNACAACAAAGCCTCATTGAACCTCTCCAAATCATGGAATCCCAACCCCCCATCCTCCTTTTTTCTTGTCAACATATCCCATTTTTTTCAATGTATCTCTCTTTCCCCATTGTTCTTACTCCACCAAAATCTAGAGATTTTTGCAGTTAACTCCTGACAAAAATTAACTGGGAACTGAAAGATAGTCATTGCAAACGAGGGAATGGCTTGCACCACTGTTTTGATCAAGACTTCTTTCCCAGCATGATTCAGTAGATTCTCCTTTCATCCTGTAATTTTCATCAGAACCCTGTCCTTGATCCAACTTAATGTTTGTTTTTTAGATCTCTCTCATTCTTTAGGGAGACCCAAATATTTTCCTGTCCTCGTGATAGGAGGCACACGAAGAATCCCAAAGTGAACTAATTACCTAAACAATGTAATTAATTAATTCCACTTGCATAGTCTCTTGTATATTTGAGTGATCGAATGGCATATGTACCTTATCCAATTGAAGCATCGTTTTCTTTCTTTATTTGTGTTATTATATTGTAATATAGAACGTCTAACAAACAGATAGAAGAAAGACTCTCTACATTAAATTGTATTCTTGGACTCGATAATTGAACTCAAAGTGGAATCAGAATTTCTCTGTGTGAAGTATCAAATTTTATTCTGCAGTGGGCTGAGATTCTTCCCCCCTCTTTCTCCCAATTGCTTAGCTTTGTGGTATTTCATCTGACTTTCCTGAAACTTCTCCATTTAAGGAGGTAAAGTGATTCCCTTTTCCTCGAGTACCTTTGCTTCATGGTAGTGGTTTTGTCAAAAGTCGACTTTTCAAGCGAATAAAAAGTATATGGATACTATAAGAGAAAGAGAGAGAGAGAAACTGCACCCAAACTCAAATCAAATACATCTAATAAAAACTCCAGAAAAAAAAAAAACAGATAAAAGTTGTGGAACTTGTAAGCTTCCTATTGGTTGGGAAAAAGCAATATTGGATTCTAGAGGGCCCAGGCCACAGTCTGACAAGGCAATAGCAATTTCGGATAATTAACATTAATATTATGAAACTGAAAAAGATGGTGTGTCTGCTTATTAATTGCATTTAGAATTAGATAGATGTGATCCCCCAAGACAGTGAACCACCGACAGCTAACTAGGGGTAGGCGTGCTAAAGGATGCAACCTACTCGAGTTGAATTTGAATTTGGATTTGACTTGTCTGAAATTTGATTTGAATTCATTTGTTTATTTATTATAAGTTAAANCACAGTGACACCATCACGAGATGGTGTGTCTGCTTA